TATCAATCAGTGGCAAGAGATTTTAATATAAAACTCGATGCAACGTTCCACGATTGATGAACTTTGTTGCTGATTCCATGACAAATCTTCAGATGGGTACTGGTCTTTCGGTGCACATGTTCAGATCTTCATATCTATGACATATCGTGTTACGTCCATCATTTCTCCTATATTCCAAATGTCCAGTAATGTAATGGTTGTCTCGCTAGAACTGTTAAAACTGAGTAGTGAGTTCTATCATCACTGAGTGCTCCATGCTTTCGGCCTTGTGCCACATCTGAGCTACGCTTGGGAAGTCACTATATTCCAAATGTACAGGGTAATTTCTAATCAGACATATTTTTCCATTCCCAAGAACACTACTTGCTTTAACAGATTCTTGCATGGGCACTTCGCAAAACACTAGTCGGAAACTCATCAACTCATGGATTACTCTTTCAATATGAAAGTATTTGATCAAGTAAAATTTATTACATATGTTTGTGTTTAAAGATAATATATAAGAAACGATATATATTAGGATAATATTGAAATTATATGCATATTTATATATTATATATATATATATATATATATATATATATATATATATATATATATATTATTTGAATTTTAATTTTTTTTTTATGTTTGTGGTTAAAGATAATATATAAGAAACTATCTATCTTGAGATAATATTGAAATTATATGCGTATATATATATATATATATATATATATATATATATATATATTTAAATTTGAACTATTTGTAGAAGAGTCTCATTATCGAGAATATAAAACATATAGAGTGTAAACATTTGGATCAGAACTGTAGGATGATACGTCTTTTCATCACACTGAAAACTGCAGTCTCATATTTTGGTCTGAATATCGCATGAAGGCGTAAAACTAACACAAAATATGGACTATTATATATATATATTATATATATATATATATATATATATATATATATATATATATATATATATGCCTGTGTGTGTGTTTATTTACACACATATATATAATGTGAATATAAAATAAATAACGAGATATTAGCAACTGTCTATGCGTGCGATGGCGTACATACAATGATAAGCAAATAAATATTTAATTTACGGTGCAAACAAAACATTGCAGAATGTAGTTAATCAAACTATGATATATATATATATATATATACACAAGTAAACATTAAGGTCAACAAAAACGGTGACACTATTTTGCATGCATAAATGCATTCCTCAGGCTATGCGCAGTGTTCTATACATTACAGTGAATGGGGCATTATGGGTAATTCTATTCCATTACTCTAACAGTTTTGGGGTGGTTGGTAATGGATATGTTTCAATTTATCCTAGGAGCTATTAAGTATAAATGTTAATACATCCGAATGCAATCTTTGTAGCTATTTTCAAGTTTTTATTGTTAAGTTTACTTGGTTTGAGCGGGCATTCGTAAACTGCTAATTATTAATGATTTATTGAATTAATTTACTTATTTTAATTTCATTTATTCATGGAGTTATTTTTTATCATATATATATATATATATATATATATATATATATATGTGTGTGTGTGTGTGTGTGTGTGTGTGTGTGTGTGTATTAAATGTTAGAAATATGATAACATTTTTAAGGTATGCTATATTTATAGGTTAAAGTGTTCAATGTATTGGATGAAACTTATATAAATATAAAAAAGGAACATTAAAGTTAACTCCCAGAGATGATATTCTGTTACTAAACGCAATCTTCAAGCCATGTGCATTGTATTTTGTGATTATATATATATATATATATTTTATATTTATGTATATATATATTTATGTATATATTTATGTATGTATATATATATTTATGTATGTATATATATATATATATTATATATATATATATATATATATATATATATATATATATATATATATATATATATATTATATATATATATATATATATATATATATATATATATATATATATATATATATATATATATATATATATATATATATATATATATATATATATATATATATATATATATATATATAGGGGGTCACCGATGCGTTGTGTGTTAGTTTATTGCATGGGTTGCGCCATATCATGTTTTTTTTTTTTTAGTTGTGTATGTGAGTGTTGCCGGGAATCCACTTTCTTTTAGGTCTGCCACATAGTCTTCCTTAACTTCGTTGAATATTGTATAATTGGAAGAATTGTCAGAAAATACACTGTATTTGAAAACGTAACACGAAACGTAGGAAAAATTTTCACGTAATTCATACACAAACGCTTTAGCGCATCAATCACTGTCCGCAAGATATTCAACAAAAACACAGTAAAAATCAACTACATTTCTACCGAAACCATGACACATAAAATAAAAAGATCACACCAGGAAAGCAATCAACCAATCACCTGAAACAGCAGAATAAAGAAAGAATGTCCCTTAAACGGCAATTGCTTGTAGAATAGTGTAATATACGAAGTCATTGTAAATCAGCTTATAATGAATTGAAAATATATATAGTAGTAACTGAAGATCCCTGAAAAGAAAGAAAACGCACAGAAGAAACATACTTTACAAATAGTAAAGTAGCGGACTGCAATATGCTTTATAAATATATCTGCGAGATTAAAACAAAACGAAAAAAAACAAATCTCACCAAAAATATGGAAATGAAAAAGAACTTCAGTCTATAACAATCAATTCAAAACCCGTGAACTCTGCCTGGAGGAAAATAAATGAAAATAAATGAATAAAATATAACAAATAAACAAAAACAATGAAAATAATCTAAAACAAATAATTAAACTAAGTAAATCATAAATAAACAAAACACGCCGACGAAAATAAAAACTAGAGTAATAACAATAGCCTACCCACATAGCATTACTGATCAGAATAAATAAAAAGTCAAGTCAAGTCAAAAAATTATCATAAGAAGACAATTGCATTCAGCATGAAACAGACTCTCGCCTCTGGGTTTGACTTCAATGCCTACTCATATATATATATATATATATATATATATATATATATATATATGTGTGTGTGTGTGTGTGTGTGTGTGTGTGTGTGTGTGTTACCATATTCTCAATTTACGTATAACTTGTAGCATATACAAATTAAATTTGTAGTGCGGCTTTAGTTCGAATACTTCCTAAAATTTGAAATTATTCAGTACAAAACATTCTATATCGGAAGGCAGTTTTGTGGCTATTGTTTAACTATTTTTGCTCATTATTTCTTGTTAAAATATTATTGGCTGTTGATTATATATATATTAGTTAGACGTAAATTGCGTATATGTTAAAAAAAGAGTTTATGTTGTCCGTTGAATTTAATAAATCATGTTATTTAATTACTGTTATATATATATATATATTTATATATATGAGACACAATGTCATTGATAGATATGTACTGGTAATGAATATACATTTTTATTACTTACCGTTAGCACAACTGAGTTTCATGCACAATGCAATCTTCAGTTGCACATTGAGTACTCAGTATTGTGCTACTGATGAGGAACAAAATTCATATTATTACTACATATTCAAGCTGTTATTCTACACCGAACTCTGTTTTATTACTACTACTATTGAATGTTTTAATATATATATATATATATATATAGTGCTGTTCGATAAAAGTGACTCACTTGATTTTTTTACTTGATGTTCTTTTCTCCGATGAAACGAAAGTTGAGCTAAATTCAAAGGATAAGCGATCTAAAAATCCGAAGAAGAAGCTTTGAAAGCTCTTTGAATTAAGCAGTAATTACTCTCAAGCATCCGTTCTGTACAATGTTCTGGGGATGCTTTTCTTTTCATGGAATTGGTTTCTTAAAACCTATTGAAAAGTCCCTTAGGAGCCAGCAGTACAAGAGCATTTTATTGTCTTGTCTTCTCCCTTCTGCTGAAAGGGTGCAAATCGACCCCACCAAGCTCATTTTATGCAGGATAATCCTCCCTGTCACAAATCAAAATTGATGAAGGAATACTTTGATGAGAAGCAGGTGAGTGTTATGGCATGGCCGCCCCCAATCTCCTGACCTCAACACCGTAGAAAACTTATGGAGCATTATAAAGTACAGGCTCTCGAGAAAGCAGTTGAGCAACAAAGAGGATTTGATTGTGAATTTCATATCCGAATGGAATTCAATGCTTGGAGATGAGATTTGACAGAACCTAATCAAGTCAATGACAAAAAATGTTGAAAAGTTTATAAAAAATAAAGGAGGACCCATAGATTATTAAATATTTCGAAGTATATTACCTATTATAAATAAATTATACCTCCATTATTCTTTTTTTTTTTAAAGCTGTTCGGTTATGTTTCTATTAATTACTAGTTGCAGGAAATAAGTGAGTCACATTTATTTGCACAGAGGTTTCCATAAATCTCATTTATATCCAAAATTATAATTGTTTATAGAATACCTTAGGGTGAGTAAACTTTTTACTAGGTGGTCGGGAAGGGGTCTTAATATTAGTGATATTAAAAATTAGTTTGAGCCCAAAAACAAAAGACGAAAAAAATTTTAAGTAAAAAAAATGAGGTGAGTCACTTTTATCGAACAGCACTGTATGTATATATATATATATATATATATATATATATATATATATATATATATATAACAGACACATTTATGATGAGGAATGGATGGATAAGAAGATAGACAAATTCTATAATCCCAGATACATAAACAATTTAAATACTGGATAGAACTACCACTGCCCGACAACTGCGTCATGCAGCAATATATCCAGTTAAGTAGGGTTTTGTTATTGATTCAAGAGCCTCAAGTTTCATCTGATTCGAAATTTCATCGGACCCGCTGTTGGTCTTATTCAACTTCTACGGTTGCCATTTGCTAATCTATTACTGTCAGCCATTAGTCATCAGTAATAAAGTTTGGCACGTAGCGGACAAGGCGTTTTGTTTGCAGCCTGGGTTTGTCGCCGCCAACATCACTTCCGGTTTCGGCATTGGTGCGATGATGTCATCCGAACATTGCCCGTTCTACGGTGGCAGAAAGGAAAAAAGGGAAACGCGGAAGAAATAATCGACAGAAAAGACAGAAGAAGAAGAAAATAAGAATGACCAATTCAATTGGGGAAAAGAAAAAGCAGAAAGTGGGTAAATAAAAGGAGGAAATAGAAGGAAAAATGTCTTCTTTATTTAGGGCGGGAGAAGCAAATGAATATAGGATTAGAAAATAAATGGCGAAAAACGAAATTTGGGTTTGACGGTTGAAATACTGTAGAAATTAAGTGAATGCAAATTTATTTGGCACCAAATGAGAAATGGAAATAGACATTTCAAATTAAAATTCACTTTGGAGGTAAGACATTTATTTGTCAATATTATTCATAAATACTCAAGATTTTTGAGAAACACTGGCCTAGATCATAGAAAGTTTTATGAAAAAAAGATGTTTACCCTTCTGAAAATATATATATATATATATATATATATATATATATATATATATATATATATATATATATATATATTTGTTGATAGATGTGAGTTTGTGACCCTGGGTTTCACCTTTGCGATCGTCAGACAAACTGATTAATGTTTAAAAAATTTGGGTTTATGTAGATTGCGTGTATTGGTGTTATTGTGGAAGTGGTGGGGAAATTTCGTCGTTTTGTCATTCATCGTACTAACGCAAACATCGATGTATGCAGCCACATATACATACTTGGTCGTCCGTCGGGACTCATACATATATATATAAACATATGTAGACAATTTCGGCTATGACACATGTATGTATACGGGTGGTGTTATGTCTATACATACGCATTTGTATGTTGAAATGTTGAAATTAAAACATTGGAAGTGTGGCGGAAATGTCTCGTTAATGTCTCGTGAATGTATCCATGTCATATTATGAAATTTTTATTTTTTTATTCTTTTCCGTTGAAAAATATTTTCTCGCATGTATGTATATATGTGTGGTGGGGTTTGAGTAAAATTATGATAGGTAAAAAATTATTATTATAATTATTTATATTTATTTTTAAATTTTTGAAAAAAATGGGGTTTATTTGTTATATTTAAAGCTGGTTATTTGTTTTGAAAAAAAATTTTATTTGTTAAAAAAAGGGGGTTTATTTGTTATTTTTAAAAAAATGGGGGTTTTATTTGTTATATTTAAAGCTGGTTATTTGTTTGTTTTGTGTATATGTAACAGGTAAAATTTGTAATCCTTATTGTTTAATTTATATGGTGATGTTTAATTTAATAATGGGTTTATATGATATGATGTGATAGTAATGTTTCAAAGGATTGGAGGACAATGCTATTTAGGCTTTAGCTAATAATAGTTATTGTAAATTGGAAGAAATTGCAAATTGGTAGAAATGATTAGTAACGGTGGTGGGAGAATGATAAAACCATGAATGTAGTTATAGTGGTGGTAGCTAGAACTAAAAAAGTGGTTGTTGGTGTTTTATTTTATTTTGTTTTTATTTTGTTATATGTATTAATTTATTTTGGTATAAAACCTGATAATAGGTATTCTATGTAAAATTATGGTAGTTGAAGATTGCTATAATTTTTAATTTTTAATTACAAAATTATTATTATTATATTAAAGCTGCCTGGTAATAGGTGTTTATTCTCATGGTTACATATGGAAATTATATCTGATCATATTGTTTTAAAGTATTAAATATGCTGGGGGAGTAATAAAGATTGTAGTGGATTATATGTTAATAGTGGGTGTGATGTGTAAGTGATGGTGCTGTGTGTAGGTGGTAATGATAATATTGATAGTTAATAGATATTGTAAGATGGTAAAAGTGATTACTAATGGTGGTGCAATTATAATAATGATAGGTGCAATTATTTTGATGGTATCTTGAAATTAAATTGTGATTGTTGGTGGTTTGTCTGTTTTATCCGTTTGGTATGAATTCGGATAATAGATACTTGTTCTCATGTCTACATTTGGAGATTATCTCTGATTTTTTTTTTTAGCAAGTTCTTTTGCGGTTTGTGTGATATTATTGCTACTTTTTCGTGTAGGCAAAGTAGGCATTTTTTTCGTAATGTTGTTGTAGGCAGGGGCTTTTTTCAATATTTCCCAACTTATTGTTGGTGTGATGTTTTATCTTTTGCTGCCATATGTATGTAGAAAGTGTTGTGCTGTTCGAACATTTCCTGTTGTTGAATGAAAGGTTGTGATTGTTATTCCTCATCTTGAATGGACCTTCCTTGGCACCGATGTAGTGCATAGTGTTGTTGTTTGTACTTTAGTTGGCCTTGTATATTGTGTTCGTAATTTGGCAATTTCCCTGGAGTGGACATGTTGTTCTGTTTCTGCAGTTGCATATTGGATCCTTGGATACATTTTTGCAGGTTGTCATTTTTTTGTTGCGGTTTTTGATTATTTCTGTTATGTTTTTTGTACAGCTGTAACTGATCTTTACGTTACTTTTGTTAAATATTTTTGATAATTTGTTTTCTTCAGTGAAGTGCTTTTCTATTAAGTTTAGGAATATTTTGCCTTTGTTCGTTTTAACAGTTTTGTTATATCGTGGGTTAAACCAGATAATGTTTCTCTTTCTGTTTCTGCGTTTTGGCTGTGGAGGTATATATTGTAGTTGTTGTGTGTAACCACTTGCTTTTAGTGCTTCGTTGTATGGTGCTATTTTGCTATTGAAAATTTGCATGTTAGATGAGTTCTCAGATAGTCTGCGGCTGATTGACTTTGGTATTTGTTTGATGATAGAAGGTGGATGGTTGGAGGATGTGTGTACGTAAGTTGGTGTGTCATTTTCTTTTTTGTATGGTTCATATGTGTTGTTGATCAGGTTAAGAGTGACCTCCAGGAAGTTTACTATAGTTGTGCCTGTATATGATCAGATATAATTTCCATATTTAACCATGAGAACAAACACCTATTACCAGGCAGCTTTAATATAATAATAATAATTTTGTAATTAAAAATTAAAAATTATAGCAATCTTCAACTACCATAATTTTACATAGAATACCTATTATCAGGTTTTATACCAAAATAAATTAATACATATAACAAAATAAAACAAAAATAAAATAAAACACCAACAACCACTTTTTAGTTCTAGCTACAACCACTATTACTACATTCATGGTTTTATCATTCTCCCACCACCGTTACTAATCATTTCTACCAATTTGCAATTTCTTCCAATTTACAATAACTATTATTAGCTAAAGCCTAAATAGCATTGTCTCCAATCCTTTGAAACATTACTATCACATCATATCATATAAACCCGTTATTAAATTAAACATCACCATATAAATTAAACAATAAGGATTACAATTTTTTACCTGTTACCAAAACAAACAAATAACCAGCTTTAAATATAACAAATAAACCCCCATTTTTTTCAAAAATTTTTTTCAAAAACAAATAACCAGCTTTAAATATAACAAATAAACCCCCATTTTTTTCAAAAGTTTAAAAATAAATATAAATAATTATAATAATAATTTTTACCTATCATAATTTTACACAAACCCCACCACACATATATACATACATGCGAGAAAATATTTTTCAACGGAAAAGAAAAAAAAAAAGATTCATAATATGACATGGATACATTCACGAGACATTAACGAGACATTTCCGCCACACTTCCAATGTTTTAATTTCAACATTTCAACATACAAATGCGTATGTATAGACATAACACCACCCGTATACATACATGTGTCATAGCCGAAATTGTCTACATATGTTTATATATATATGTATGAGTCCCGACGGACGACCAAGTATGTATATGTGGCTGCATACATCGATGTTTGCGTTAGTACGATGAATGACAAAACGACGAAAATTTCCCCACCACTTCCACAATAACACCAATACACGCAATCTACATAAACCCAATTTTTTAAAACTTTTAATCAGTTTGTCTGACGATCGCTAAAGCGTGAAACCCAGGTCACAAACTCACATCTATCCAACCAAATATGTTAGCTCTATCTCTGATATTGAGCGCTTTCTAATAAGTACTGTGGGCATATAATATATAAATAATTATACATATATATATTTATTTATATTTATATACACTTTCACACACACATATATATATATATATATATATATATATATATATATATATATATATATATATATATATAATAAAATTGGCAGTCAATAAAATAGACGGACGCACAAACAATTAAATGATAATGAAGAAAAATTAATGAAAAAAGATAAAAATTATTAAATTAATAAAAGAAAAACAAATAAAAATCATTAGTCTTGTCAGGCAGAATGGAAGGAAATCTGTATAATGCAAGATTTTCAATAAAGTGAATTTAATTCTGCTTTGAAAGTCTGCATGTGAAATCTGGGCTTTACATAGAGTTAAGAGACAACCTCTTGCACCAGGGATAATACGCAACAAATTACTCATATTGTAGAGCATGAAAATGGTTGCATTTTATATACGAAGAATAGGTGTCTATATTTCTGAGATGACATATTTAATTATTTACATTATTTTCATTGTTCCGACTGTTGTCCTCATCTTTGTTGCCATATTCACGACATTTCCGCTGTTGTACGCTCCGGCCTTCTTCAGGTGACTGGAATTTCGAAAAGTGTTCAGTTCAAAATTCCACTCACCTGAAAAAGAAATCGTTTAAATACGTACGGTAAAGCTTAGAAAAAGAAAATGTAAAAGAAGTTGTAAAAGAGGATGAATGGCGGAGCGAGAAAAATATATAAAAAGATGTTATTGGCATTTATAATAATAAAAATAACGCCATAAAAAAATGTTAAATATATAATTAAAGAAATAGATGACAAACGGTAGAAAAAAGCCATAGATAGTAAGAAAATATAAAACGACCATCTGAGAAGAAGAAAGGAACTAAAAAAGAGCAAATGGGAGAAGGAATAAAGTAGTAAAGTAGCGTTAGAAATAAAATAATACAAGCAATATGTGAGAAAGAAAATATGGCAACCAAAGAAAATAAATGATCATTCAGATATATGCGGACAAGGAACAACTTTAAAAATATTACATATTAAGACGAGAAAAAGGTAAGAGTAATGCTGAGTGTTAAAAAAGAGAGTAAAAAACAAAGTTAAAAGCAAAAAAAAGTAAATAAAAAGAAAGAAAGAAAGAACTAAATGTAACGAAGGAAAATGGTGAAGAAAAAGAAGAATCACGTAAGGAGATATATAATATCGAAGGAAAGAAAGAAAAAAAGAAAGAGAACACAAGTCAAGAGATAAAGATTTTAGAAAGAAAAAAAAAAGATAGTTATTGAGGGATAAGGAAAAAAAAAACAATGGAGACTGTGAGGAGAAAAAGAAAAACCAGGAAGAAAAAGATAGAAAGAAAGAGAGGTTACGAAAAATAACGAGAGAGAAAGAAGGATTATTAAAAGAAGAGGCGATTGCGAAAAGGCTTAAAGGAAAGATTATTAAGCCTGTCAAAATGAACTCTGCCGTAGTGGACATTAGATTATTACCGGAATATGAAGTAATCCAGGATTGATCGAGTTTTATGTAATTGAGAATTACAGTAAAGCCTCGTTTTGCATTGCGGATAGTGACAGAAGTAGATGAACACAGTTGTACAATTACACGCCGGTACACAGGGGTCGAGAACAGTGTGCTTGCATGTATTATATATATATATATATATATATATATATATATATATATATATATATATATATATATGGAGAGAGAGAGAGAGAGAGGGAGAGAGAAAGACGATATATATTATTCTATCGATCAATCTTTGAACTTACACACATATATATATATATAGATAGATAGATAGATAGATAGATAGATACATGAATTTAGATATATGCATCGCTTAATCTCCACTCATACAATACGTAATGTATATCTAAAACTATAGTGTTTTTTTTTACATTACCAATTATTTCACGGCATAAAATGGTCAATTCTTTCATCTTTATACAGTGGAAAAATCTGCAGGCATAGGAAAAAATAATGGCGGATAGAATAGTATTTGTCTGAGGTTATATTAAAGAAATATGAAATATAAGTTTTAAATATAGAATAATGTACATTTTTTATATTGTATAACTGAAATCCAATTACAAATTTGCGGCTGCATGGGCAATCTAGTAAGAAGCCAGCATATACAATTTCATATCCCATTTTGTTTGTTTGTGTGTGTGTGTGTGTGGATTTCTACAGAAGCATGCCAAGAATTCCTTGGGCTGAACATGTGAGTAACGATGAAGTTTTAGAGAAAATGGTAATGAATACATATATTTAATATCAGAATGCGACATTTGAAATTTCTAGGGAACATAATGAGGAAAGAGTGCTTAGAAAATTTGACACTCACATTATATATTGAAGGAAAACTGAGACAGGGAAGCCGAGCATATTATACCGAATGACCTTCTGTAAAATGCTAGACAAACAGTGTTTAGGAGAGTTAAGGAAAAAAAAATCTAAGAGGCTACAAAGCGGGGCAAATTGTATCTGTCACGTGCTGAAGGGACATGGCACATAGGGTATATTTATGGGTAAAATTGCACAATATCAGGGATATAACGCATTTAAATATAAGTGAATATTGCGGTTAACATCAAGTGGCGACAGTTAGGCCATGTAGATCGCGTTCAAGCATGAAACATACAACATATATACTATGCTTATATATCAGCATCGGTCAAGTGGCCTTAGCATGCCTTATAACACATAGTACTGCATGGCGGGAGGTTCAAGAGCAGATTCTGTATCCGTATCATTTTTCCCGTGTGTAGGGCCGTTTACCCTCTGACCATTCACCATAGGAAAACTTTTACCGATGGTTTATTACACACACACTGCTGATTGGTTGTTTGTCTCTTCAGTCTAGTTTACAGGTGGTGAGTCTAAGTCGTTCTTCAAAAATAAATTGTTCTTGGTTAGAAGTTGAGGTCGAGAATGCGTGAATCTTAAGTCAGCTTTCTGCGAGGCGGATCTTCAGGGCTCTCAGCTCAACTGCAAACTGCAACTGTTTTCCTGTCTGTGACTCCAACTCAACTCAATTCAACTGCGAACTCAACTGCTGATAACTCGCTGCGACTCTGCTTGTATCGACGCCAACCAAAACCGAGGTGGGCTTGTCGAGGTTTGGGGTTCCTTGATAATTCTAAATCCGCATTAAGAATTTTCTTTGTTTTTTGGTCAGGAAAACCCATCACTTTCTATTTTTGGAAATCTTTTACTTTCTACCTTAAGGGAATGGTTCTCCCAATTTCTTCCTTTCTCATATGGGTATCTCACCCAATTCCTTCAGAGGCGTCAACAGGTTACCCCTCTCACTCACAGTGGCATCTCACACCAATCCCTTCAGGGGGCGTAAACAGGCCTCCCCGCCTTCTTCATAGTTTACCTTCGCCTACCGCTCACGCCACCCTTCAGCCAATGAACGCTCAGCGGCGTAGGTGTTTGCTAATTATCGCTCAAAGAAAAAAAAATATCTTTTTTTCTTTTCTTTCTTTTCTTCTTCCCGACAACAAATCCTTAGACTCTTATCTTAACCGAATCCCATCTGGAGTTCATCAATCGAGACTTTTCGCCAGCGTCAAGTGGGTGGTTTAACTGGACGTATTTGCATTCTGTCGCTAATTAACTGTTCCGATAAAATAGTTTTTTTTTTTTTTATCATGGTCAGTTCTTGACATGAAACAGGTGCTTTTACCAAACGACATCTCCGCAGATTGCTAATGGGTCAGTGTTTCTTTCTTTGTAACTTGGGTGGTCCAACGGACATTTTGTTTTTCGGTCAGTGCGTGCTTAATTAATATTATCTCTTAGCACTCTGTCCCGTAGGCCACTCGACCAATTTGAAATTTTCATTATCGCCATGGGTAGGCGACTGTCTTTTATTCGGTGCGTCGTCGTAAATTAAATCCAGTATCTTACTTTCTTCGCTAATGAAAATAAAATCTTTACCACTTTTCCTTGTTTGAAAAAAATAACATTGTCCAGTGTCTTTTCGTGATAGATTCTTATCACCTAATTTAATTCTTGCCTTTTTTTCTTTTTTCACGCAACCCTAAATAGTGTCACATTATTAACAATTTTCAATACGGAGTTACTTTCCATCCACCCTTTGTTTGTATATATAGTACTAGCAGTAGAGCTCGGCGTTGCCCGGGGATGTAACAGTAAGAGATAGATAAAGTATCGACCATCATAAAGACTGAAAAATAAAATTGACAAAGATCACTGTTTAAGTTTGACGGACACGCATGTCTTAATTAGTTTTATTTTTTTTTTGTTTTGTTTACGAATTGGTCAAACCCAAACTCAAACAAAAACATTGTTTTCAATCGTTATGAGTCTACCGATTGAATAGAATGTTATTATAAACAATTGTCTTGTAAATGGAATTTTTAAAGCATTCTGAATGTAAAAATAAAGAAAAAAGTGTGCAAGACAATAAGAAACACAACCTGCCAAAAAAGTGAAGTTTTCTTGAAAAATGTAGGAAATCCGATTCCATATATAAACGAACAAACACACACAAACAACCAACCTGGGTTTTATAATAAGTATAACGCGATAACTCGATATTAATAAGTATAAGTCGATATGAGTTGTCCCCCTTTCATTAATGCCTCTTAATCGTGTTTTCAAATTGATTTCGTGCAAAAACAATTACGTTTTTTCAATTTTTGGCGCCGTCAGAACGACCGCAAGGTAATTTTACGCATTCCTGTGAATTTTTGTTGAAATCGGTTGAAAATTGTAGGAAATCCGATCCAATATATAAACGTACAGACACACACACAATCTGAGTTTTATAAGTAAGATTAGCTTATGAGTTTTTGTAAAATAATTGATTTCCTGTATCATTATTCGATGACCCTTTGTTTAACAAATAACGAAGAAAGCGTTTAATTCATTTTATTTCTGTAAAAACTCAACAGGCAACATGAATTTTCCAACCCTCACGTAAGAATATTAGTAGTATGACATTCTGGAGCCATCTAGATATTGTTGGAGTCTTCTAGAACTTTTTGAAAATTATGACGTTCGTTTTGTGGGGATTATAAGCTGATAAAGTTTTCATTTAGATAAGGTGAATTAGAAAAGTGTGCTGTGAATGTGATCAAATATTGTGGGGGATTCAGAGAATATAAGCTTCCAGACTGAGAAACGCTGATTGATTTGCTGAAAGATTTCCATTTGTTTACTGACCAATTCTACACTGCAGATGATTATTAGAATCGATGTAGCAGCTTGCATGTCCACAAAACAGCATTAAAATCTGTAAAAGAAAAGTTTTAGAATCCAGAACTATGAAAAGTGGAAATTCCAAGAAAAAATCAGTGTGCAAAACGGCCAGTCATGTGCCCTCAAGATATTTATGACATTTGTAAAAGAAGAAGAATGTTCAGCTTATATTTATTTTGTTTAACAAAGAATAATTTTATGTTATGTTATAACTATGTTAATTCTTCGAAATTCTTTTTGTTTATATAGCTATTCTTGTGGATGTAAGGTTCTAAATGTATATGCAAGTTTGCAGTTTTTTTTTATTGTACGTTATGCTATAGCTATAAAATGTTAAATGCCTTAAAATAATCAAGTATTATTTAATTATGTCATTATCAAATCAAAATTGAAACCTTAAATATTTTTGATTGTTTTACACTTATTGTGTATGCGTATATTGTGAAATCGAATTTTTGGTTTGTGGTGACCTTTTTCAAAAATGCCTCTTTCATTTTTTTAAAAAAAGGAAATCAATTTATGACACAGGAACATGGGTTTACAAAAGTCATAACATATATATATATATATATATATATATATATATATATATATATATATATATATATATATATCACACGGCCAAGGTCTCAAACATAAATTAAATTTATATTTTAAGCCGGAATATGAAATAACTTGACTCAGGTTATGATTTCTCTGGATTCATACTAGTATAGGATATCTACAGGTTATGAACGAGTCACGCAAAACATACAAATTGGTGAAAGAAAGACAGCGAACGCGTGGATTCATTTTAATAGAAACAATTCAACAATATGCAAATTAAGAACAGCAACAACAAAAAAAGACGAAAAAAAAGTTTGTTTGTTTGGGGTGAATATGCAGTCATATGGCATTTAACACACAATTTCGATATCAGTGTTCATAGTTCAATGGAATTTGAACAGTACATCTCTTCGTTTCCAATTCCATCATTTTCACATAAAGACTTGAATTGATCGATAAGTTCATAGAAATAGAATGTCCGAATTTATGGATAGATAATTTCAAATTCCCGCTAGATTTTAGATATTAATTGTAAAGCAGAATGCTTAGAGGCATCGATTTTAATGTTCGAGAGCTTTTCATATGCTGAGAATATATCCTTAAATCATAGATGCATTAAATTGGTTAAATCCATTGTTTCATTTAGTTACTGCCTTTCTTGCTCCTCTGGGCAGATAATTACAAGAGTGTATATC